CAACAGAGTGAGAATCTGTCTTGAAAAAAAAAAAAATTAAGGACTGCTCTTCATCAAAATGCACCTTTAAGAAGGTAAAAAAGGCCAGCACAGAATTGGGGAAAAACATTTGCCATACGTTTGTGTGACAAAAGATTCACATCCAGGCTATGCAACTCTCACAAATTAATAAGAAAAACGACAACACAGTGGAACAAAACAGGCAATAGATTTAATTAGGCATTTCAGAGACACACACAAAAATGGTCAATAAGTATCTAAAAATCTGCTCCATATTGATACTCATCAGAAAAATACAAATGAAAACCAAAATCCAATACCACTAAGCAATAGCTAACATTTGTTAAGACAATATCAAATGATGTTGAGGATATAGAGCAACTGGAACTCTAATATGCTGCTGTTCTGTGTGTAAACCCTTTCAACAAATTTCAAAAGCTCTTTGGTAGCATCGTCTAAAGATGGATCTACCCACACTCTGTGATCCAACAATTCCACTCTTAGGTATATGCCCAATAGAAATGCCTGCATCTCTTCACCATGAAAAATAATGTTCAGAGAAGCAGTACTTGCTACTTTTCCAACTACAAAGAAGATAAATGTGTACCAATGATAGAAAGAATAAATAAAATGTGATATATAGTCTATATACATAAAGCTATACAGAATATAATAAAATGTGATACTATGTATATATACATATAGAATGAAAATTATACAAGAATAAATATAAATTATAGCTACATCCAAAAATACACACAAAGATTTCAATATGATAAATTACCTCAAGAGAAAAGAGTACATTCCATAAGTTTAATTTAAATAAAATTTTAAATCAAATTCAGAAGTTTAAATATTTGTCAGCACTGGAGACCAGAGTTTAGTAACTCGGAATGAAAGCATGAGGGGTCTCCTTGAATGTTGATGATGTCCTGTTTCTTGTGGGTACTGATTACTGTTTGTGTTAACTGAATAAAGAAGTGAGCTATACACTTGTAATTCCCATGTTTTTAGGAATGATTGATATTCTGGCTCTTCCTGCTCAACCTAGGGCCCCCGGCCAGTCCGTGGCTCAGCAAAACATATCACACCTTGGGCAATGGTGGGCGTGGGGAGAGTGGCCCCAGGATGCTGAGGTCCACAAGCAACCGGGATAAGGGGCTGCAGGCCCACTGCAGCCCACACAGGGCTAGGCACACAGTGCGGCACACACAGCGTGGCAAGAGCAGACAGGAGCCAGGAAAGAGCCGTCTCTTGTGCCTGAGCAACCTGAAGTGAAACAACCAAGCTCAAGCCTTTTGGATGCACTCTTGTCAGCCCCAGAGTTTGAGGAACAGGCACAGCCTTTCCTCAATCTAGATGCACGGGAGGAGGACCTTCCAACACCTGAGCCACCCTTCAGCGAGGAAAAATTTCAGGCTCTGCTCCATGTGTTTTGGAGCTCAACAGGGTTACATCTGCAAGAGGAGACATTGTCCAGGAGTTAATTGTGTGTAAATAAAAAAAGAAAAGAGGAGACATTGTCCCACATTTGAAAATTAAACAGAGCATGGAGGGGATAGGCTAGTTCACATACAATTCACAATAAAGCTGACTGGAGCTGATTTCTCATTCCAAAGGACTCTGTCATCTCAAATAATTGTGTCCTCTCTCTTTCAGAGTGTGTGTCTGTTTGAGTGCATGGGTGTGGGTGGATGTGTGTGGGTGTGTACCACATTCCCTCCTTCAAAAGCCTGATCTTGTTTCCTTTGTTCTGGGAAACATAGCCTTCCACCTGATTGTACCCATAGCACATCTTCCAAAATGCTGTAACTTAACCTTTGCACACAGAGAAAGGTGGAAACTCTTGGTTTTGTATGACAGAAGGTTGGATCACAGGTTTTTCAACCAAATTCGATGTTTGGGATTATTCTATGCATATATGACTCTCGTGGTTATGTGAACAAAACATTGTCTGATTCAGTAAACAGGACTTGACAATACAAGGCTAGGATGATTGGTAATCCCTACATTTTAAACTGTCAGAATCATTTCTCCATGGCAGTTTGCCCACATCACCATGGAGATGTTAATATTCTATGGAATTTTTTTTGACTAAGCGTTTATGGACAGCCTTGCTGTAATAAAAGGAACATATCTCATCTCACAGTTTTGTAAGCACAGCTGAAGATGTGCCCTGTGAGCACTCTCTTTCCCTTGCAAGCTAGCAGGCACCCTGCAGGGCTCCACCCTCACAACATCTCAAAGGAGCCCAAAAGACAAAAAGAAAATGTAAGTCTTTCTGTTTACAGTGGGCGGCTCACAGTTTTTATAATTGCTTTCTGTGGCGTCGGGGTATTTCTGAGAACCTCCAAGGACGGATGGGAGGCCGGTCATTTCTAGGCCTCATTTTCCTGGCCAATGCTACCTCCCAGGGGAAATCATACCCTTTGTATCTGGTTGAGATGCTGCAGAGCTCCTCAGTGCGTCAGCTGCAGGATGAGGGAAATGTGCTTCCCAACACAGCCGCCACCAGATCCCGTCTGCTCCTTTGTATCCAGTGTGATTCTGGACATATTCCACTTGCTTACCCCACGGGAGTATTTTTTCTTTCTCTCCTGGGGTCAGCTTGCTACTTCCATCCTTACCTCATGGCCTCTGTGACAGTCAGAGGCTCTAGCCTGCCTGCGAGGGCACTGTGGGATCCAGGCACTTTTCACCTTCTCAAAGTTTGAGGCAATTTCTCCTTGTAGTTATACACACAGGATCTCCACCTACTGATCAGCACCTCCTGGGCTATCTGGAAAATTCACACACTGGAATGCCACCAAGGAGACTAGAAGAGTTCTAAGGGAGGCACACTCCACTTCTTTCTTTTCTGGAAGTTCACACGGCATGAGTGAATGCAGGCAGGTGTGTGTGTCACAAGCCAGGGCATGCCAAAACTCTCTTGTGACTTCACAACCAGCTCTCAATGGGGACAAATGGTCCTGGAAGTTCCTTCTTTTTGTATCTTGCAGTGATTCCTTGCATATGGATATCTAACCCACACTCATGAGTCTTCAACTTGGACTTTCCCCTTGCAGACAGAAAGATAAAGGAAAAGACAGGGAAGATAAAATTATCAACTCCAGGAAATCACTGAACAAAGCACAGTGCTGTTAGTCTTCCCACATGGTTTTCATCTTGCCCTAGACAGGGCCTTGAGCTGGGGTGGACTCAGGACCCAGACCTGAGTATGGGGACTTCCTAGGCTCTATCCGAGGGCTTTTCCTACCAGAGTGACCTGCAGTCCCCTCCCAAAAGAATGTATCTTGTAATAGTTCCCAAGGACAACTTGGTTGGGTACAAAGTCTCTATTGACATACTTGTAAGTGTATCATAGAAAACACCTGTGTTTTTTTCGCTTTCCCCTAGGCTATGAGTATCTTTGTATGTTGATACTGTTTTCATTGTTGTAACTACATACTCCAGGTATCATGCTCTGCCATATCGTTTTTGATACTAGCAACTAAGCATCCCTGCTAGGGAGGTAACAGGGTGGGGGGGCATTGCAGAAAAAGGTGTTAAGGTCTTTTGTACATTTTTGTGCAATGTTATCTCACAGAACTCAGCCCCGCAGCCTTATCATGGCAGGAGCTGTGCTCTCACATATCGTCACACTATTTTATAATGGAAGGTATTTCCAACAGCAATTCAGCCTCCAATGGTGCTGGAGCTGGAAATAATAAAATTTAATTTCCATATCAGTCATGCTGTGGGGTTCATCCTGTGTGTGTCCTCATAGGCTGTGACGATTTGCCAGGGTGGCCACAACACAGCACCACAGATGGAAGGGCTTTAAGGACAGAATTTCTTTTTCTCACAATTCTGGAGTCTAGAAATCTGGCATCATTCTATGGGCTGGTATTGCTTTCCTGAGGCCTCTCTCCTTGGCTTGTACATGGCCAACTTCTATCTCTGTGTTCTCTGACCTTGTCCTTGTGTGTATCTTCACCACCCCTTCTAAGCAGTCTGTTGACAGTAGACTGGGGCTCACCCCTATGAACTCACTTAACTGTAATTACCACTTTAAGGATCATGTGTCCAAATGCAGTCAGATTCTAAGGCATTGGAGTTTAGAACATGAGCATATGAATCTCTGGAGGGGGCACAATTCAGCACATAACATATACTAATCCCCTGGTGAAGACAGACTCCTAAGACAGGACTTACTGGGTTAGAGATGTGCATATATAACATTGTAATAGCTGCTACAGCTAGATCACTTTCCAAAACTGCTGTGGTAGTTGCAATGTCACCAGCAGTCTCTGAATGTAGCTGCTTCTCTGGGTCCAGCCTCCCCTGCGTGTTAATAGTCTTTTATATTTTTGCCAATCTAGAGTCTTTGTGGCAAATAGAATCAAATCATTCTTTCACTTTCCCAACTGATACATGTGAATCACCATTCAGTTGTTTAATATCTATTTAAGTTTTCTCTTCCTTGAGTAATAAGCCCTTGGCCCTGTGATGGGCTTTCTCCCACCCCGGAATCTCCCAGCATTTTCCCCTTTGCTAAGTCTGGAATTGTAATTGTTTCTTTCTTTGTTTTTTCACTGTGGCATTTGTTTTTATTAGAAAACCCCATTTAGTAAGCACTTCCCTAACCCAGATCAAAAACTGGGTAGCCTCCGAGAGTCCCACAGCTTTCATTTCATCTTCTACCCTCTTCTAAGAGGGGATGGCAGGGGATGGAGGTGGTATCACACGGTCTCCAAGCGCCCCTCCTGGACCCCTGGACCCCTGAGAGAATTCACATTTGCCAGCAATATACCAACAGCACCTCAGGAGGGCACCAGAGGGCCCTGTGGGCATTCCTGTTTGTATGGCTTCAGGATGTAACCGAGGAGGCTCTCATAGACTCCTCCTGGCCCTTCACTCTGGTGGAGAGCAGGGTGGAATCCAGGAGAAGGTGGCCAAGGGCTAGGGGAGAAGAAATTGCATTTAAGATACCCTTTGGAGTTGGAAAGCACCTGGATTTCTTGGGGAGGAGGGCCACGAAAACCCTACTCAGTTCTTCTTCGCTTTGGGAGTGCCGCATTTCCTCTTGCTGGAGCACCACAATAGCAGAGAGATGCCAATGGAGGGAAGGGTCATGACCCCGAAGGCTGCCCAGTCCAGAAAATGTGGGGAGAATGGTCTATCAACCTCCCGCTGAGCCAGGATTCCTCCCTGTCCAGGCGCACTGGTAGAGCCAATCACAACAGCCCATCCTCCTGGGCCAAGTAAGTAATTGTTGCTGAGGTGAAGTTGAAATAACCAGCCTTGAGATGGCACGGGACCACGGTGTGGGAGACGTTGCTAGCAGGGGCAATCCAGTCCCATTTGACATTGAGCATTCCAGAGACAATGCCAAAGTCTTCTGCAGGGAAGGAATCATCAGCTAATTCCATATCTAATGCAGGGCTTGAGCCAACATTGTAGATGTTGTACTGTAAGGTCAGGTCTCGCCCCTCCACAGCATATCTGTTCAACAGTGATTTGGAGGCCAGATTTTTGGCTCCTTCCTCTGCTTGAGTGACAGCAAACAAAGCCAACACCACAGATGCCAATAGCCTCATCCTGCCCATCCCAAATGCCTTTCCCTGTGGGAGGGCCACCAAGACCAGTAGTGCTGGAATTGTAATTGTTTCTGAAGACTCCCTTTAATGTTTGTTTTTTAATTTTTAAATTTTGTTTATTTTTTTTTGCCAGTCATAAATGCATAATATCTCTTGAATGTTAAAAGAAATTGCAGTTATGTTGCTTTCAGTCAAAAGAGTTCTAGGGTGCCTTGCCCTGTGCACTGTCTCTAAAATGCGGCTTCCCCAGGCCCTTCCCCCCATGTCAGAGCAGTCACAGCATCGGGGAGATTAGAGGGGTTTCCTGCAGCCCTCACTGTGGAAGGTTCACAGTTATGACCGGTGTGCAATTGAACAGCAATTTGACATGCCAAAGCCTGGGATTTTTCATCTCTACACTGAAGACGATTTTGAGGACTCACTTGGATAATGCTCTTCATACAGATGATTAATATAGGGGTGCACTGCTCCACAGGTGACAAAATGCCCCGAAGAAGACTTGACAGTATTATTGGTTTAATCAATGTCTGCCCACATATAAAGTTGTACTTTAAAAACCTAGAACCTTTTTCTCCACACACACCCATGTCCTCCACATGCACATGTCTCTGAAAAGTTGTGGCTTCCTGTTCTGAAGTTCATACCCCAATCCTCTGGTGGTTCCAGTTGCTGTCATTGACTGTATGTCCTTCCTTGTCTTGCCAGTATGAAAATGAGTCCACCCTGATTCTAGAAGAACTGCATGTTGTGCCTCCCCCAGCCAGGCAGAGGGAGATGCTAGTGGAGTCCCTGGTTCCAGCCTTCCATGGTGCAAACTTCTTCTTCACCAACTTCCTGGGCTTCAGTTGCAACTTTATCACAATCCCACAATTCTTAGAGCAGCTGTTTATCAAGTAAGCATCTGTCCCCTGAAGGCACAGGATGACTCTCTCACCTACTAGCTCTGTCTTTGGGATGTCACCGCAGATCTCTGTGCCCGGTTTGCTCCTCTGGAAGTGGGGTTGCCAGAAAATGAGCTTCATAGCTTTCTTATAGGGACAGAATGGCCTAAGACTTGGCAACCAAGGCTTTGTGGAAAATTTGAGGATCACGCTTTGGTTTTCATATTTATTAATATTATTATTATTATTTGAGACATGGTCTCACTTTTTTGCCCAGGCTACAGTGCTGTGGCATCAGTCTCGCTCACAGCAACCTCAAACCCCTCGGCTTAAGCAATCCTATGTCTCAACTTCTGGAGTAGCTGGGACTACAGGGATGCACCAACATGCCCAGCTAATTCTTTTTCTATATATGTGTTTGTAAAAAAAAAAAAAGAAATGGGTCTCTCAGGAGTCGGCTCTGAGTTTATACCCCTCCTTCCATTAGCGGGAGCCTGCAACCCCATCCACAGTTCTCTTTGACTCCTTTTCTCCTGTAGGGGAAGTCTCATATCTTAGCTTTCTCATGGAAATCATAAGGTGATGAGATGTGTACAACCCAGGGTTCCTTCCGTGAAAATGGCGACCACCATCGCCATGCATGCACTGTTTGCGTGGGCTTTTTTCACAGTTTTTGTGGCTCGAGTGGCCTTTGTCACACATGTGTGCCTCAGCTAGCCATTCTTGAGCATTCGTAGACACTTGTCTGGAATTCCGGCGTGATTCATTTCGCATTGCGGGCAGCCATTCTTTTTAAAGCTGGTGGCAGTTTCGCGCATGCATGTTGAGGGCTGCTCTTAGCTATGCCTGTGGCGGCAGCCATCTTCGTGCGTGTGCACTGGTGGTGGCGGCCATCTTGACACATGCGCGTTAGGGGGTGGTCGCCATCTTTGCACATGCGTACTGTTGGTGACGGCCATATTGGTGCATGCTTAGTGATGCCGGCCGCACTCTTAGCGCATGCTCTGTATTGGCAGTGGCCATCTTGGTGCATGCGCAGCAATGGTGGCCGCCATGTTCACGCATGCTCAGAAGTGGACCTGCCTATCTTGCCGCAACCGCAAGATGGCGGCTTAACATCAGACAGCATGCGCAATATGGCCGCCGCCAAATGGAGAGCCATATTGCAAACGATGAGCGAACAACCCTGACTCGATGGAAGCAAATAATGTCCGCCAACAGCGGTTCACATGGGCGAACATGGCCGTTCCTACAAGAAAAACCTAATTGGGACCACCATCAGATGGCCAATGCACACGCATGCGCGAAAAATGGCACAGCTTGAAAATGGCTGCACAGTAGAAAAATGGTCTCCACAAGTGAATGCAGGCAATGTCCTCCATGAATGTCAAGATGGCTAGCTGAGCCACACTACGTCAAAAAGGCCGCCCGAGCCACAACAACTGTGGAAAAAACCCCTTCAAAGGTGCATTGCCAAAATGCCTGGTGCCCGCCAATGTTTGACATAGCTCTGAAAATGCCCATGACACGCAGGGGAAAATGGCCGTGGAAGATCTGAAACTGGTGCCTGTCCCTGCACATGCACCAAATGGGCCACAGCTGAAATGCTGGTATAATTCAAAATGGCCTGATGATGCAATGGCCAAAATGGCCACAGAAGGTTAGGGTTCGGATTCGGGGTTAAGGTTAGTCTCCGGGTCGTTTGGGTTAGTTGGGTCAGGGTTCGGTTCGTTCGGGTTACGTTAGGGTTAGGGTTCAGATTCGTTAGTTAGGGTCGGGTAGGTTAGGGTCGGGTTCGGGTCAGGTTCAGGTCTAGGGTTCGGTTAGGGTTCGTTTTGGTTAGGGTTGAGGGTTAGGGTTAGTTAGGTTAGGGCAGGTCAGGTCAGGTCAGGGTCAGGGTCAGGTCGGGTCAGTCAGGGTGGGTCGGGATCGGGTAGGGTTAGGTTTAGGGTTAGGGTCAGGGTCAGGTCGGGTCAGGGCAGGGCGCAGGGGTTAAGGTCAGGTCAGGTAGGTCAGCAGGTCAGGGTCAGGGTCAGGGTCAGGGCCAGGGGTCAGGGTCAGGGTCAGGGTCAGGGCTAGGGCTAGGCTAGGCTAGGGTAGGGCTACTAGGCTAGGGTTAGGCTAGGTCAGGGTCAGGGTCAGGGTCAGGGTCAGGTAGGCCGAGGGTGAGGTGAGGGTGAGGTGAGGTGAGGGGAGTAGTTAGGTAGGTTGGGTTGGGTTTAGGCGTTAAGGGTTAGGTTAGGTTGGGCCAGGGCCAGGCAGTTAGGGTTATTGTTAGGTTAGGGTTAGGTCAGGGTCAGGTCAGGTCGGTCAGGGTCATCCGGTCAGGTTAGTAGGATTCGGTTAGTTAGGGTTCGGAGTAGGGTAGGGTCAGGGTTCGGGTCAGGTTAGGGTTAGGTTCGGGGTTAGTTCGTTTGGTTAGGGTTAGGGTTGAGGGTAGGGTTAGGGTCAGGTCAGGTCGAGGGTCAGGGTCAGTCAGGGTCAGTGGTCATCAGGTCCAGGGTGGGGTCGGTCGGGTAGTTAGGGTTAGGGCAGGGTCAGGGTCAGGGTTCAGGGTCAGGGTTAAGGTCAGGTCAGGTCGGTCAGGGTCAGGGGTCAGGGTCAGGGGTCAGGGTCAGGGCTAGGGCTAGGGCTAGGGCTAGGCTAGGGCTAGGGTCAGTGCAGGTCAGGTCAGGGTCAGTAGTGTGATGATGAGGTGAGGTGAGGTGAGGGTGGTGAGTGGTGAGGGTAGTGACCGGTGTGAGGGTTAGGTTAGGGTTAGGGTTAGGTCCAGGGTTCAGGGTCAGGTCAGGTCAGGGTCAGGGGTGAGGTGAGGGTGAGGTGAGGGTTGAGGCGTTGGGGTGGAGGTATTAGGGTTAGGGTTAGGTTAGGGTTAAGGGTTAGGTTAGGTTGGTTAGGGTTAGGGCCAGGGCCAGTCCAGTAGGGTTAGGGTTAGGGTTTAGGGTTAGGGTTAGGGTAGGTTAGGTCAGGGTCAGGGTCAGGTCAGGGTCAGGGTCAGCGGCGGTCACGGTTCTAGGGTTGGATTCTTAGGTCAGGTTCGGGTATAGGTTACGGTCAGGGTTCGGGTCAGGGGGTTAGGGTTAGGGTTCGGGTAGGGTTCGGGTTTGGGTTACGGGTTAGGTTGGGTTAGGTTAGGGTCAGGTCAGGGTCAGGGTCAGGGCAGGGGTCAGGGGTCAGGTCACCCCTGGGTCAGGGTTCAGGGACGGTCGGGTCGGGTAGGGTAGGGTTAGGGTCAGGGTCAGGGGTCAGGTTAAGGTCGGTCAGGATCAGGGTCAGGTCAGGTCGGGTTTCTGGTCAGTGGTCAGCTAGGCTAGGCTAGGGCTGGGCTAGGGCTCAGGGGCTAGGGCTAGGGTCAGGGTCATGGTGAGGTGAGGTGAGGTAGGTGGAGTGAGTGAGGGTGAGGGTTAGGACGTGAGGTGTGGGTGAGTCTAAGGGTTAGTAGGTTAGGTTAGGTGAGGGTTAGGTAGGTCAGGTTAGGGTTAGGTAGTGAGGTCAGGTTTGGGTCAGCGGTCAGGGTCAGGGTCAGGTCGGGGGTCAGGGCCAGGGCCACAGGGTCACAGTAGGGTCAGGGTCCAGGGTCAGGGTCAGGTCAGGTTAGTTAGGGTCGAGGGTCAGGTCAGGGTCAGGTCAGGGTCAGGGTCGGGTTGGGTTAGGTCGTCAGTCGGGTCAAGTCAGGGTGGTCAGGGTCAGGGTCATCAGGTCGGGTCGGGTCGGTAGGGTTGGGTAGGTTAGGGTCAGGGTCAGTCAGTCAGGTCAGGTCAGTAAGGTATCAGGTCAGGGTCATCAGGTCAGGGCAGTAGCGTCAGGGTCAGGGTCATGGGTCAGGGCTAGCGTAGGCTAGGCTAGGCTAGGCTAGGGCTAGGGTTAGGGCTAGGTCGCAGGCGGTCAGGGTCAGGTCGCAGGTCAGGGTGGAGGCTGAGGTCGAGGGGTGAGGTGAGGGTGAGGTGAGGGTGAGGGTTAGGTTAGGTTAGGGTTAAGGGTTAGGTTAGTTAGGTAGTCTAGGCCAGGGCAGGCAAGTTTAGGTTAGTTAGGGTTGGGTTAGGTGTTTAGTTCAGGTCAGGGTCGGGTCAGGGTCAGTGTCAATCTCC